GAGTCAGCGATGAGCTGACAATCTAAATGATAAGAGAGAGGAGGACTGTGACGTCTCAACCTGACCTTTGACCTTTACACCTTGGGGCTATAAGTAACTACTAGGGATATATAATATATAGGTACCATATTGGTTATTGGCCAATATTACACATTTTTTAATACTGAATAATTCCGTGTGCATGCTCATTTCCCCAACATTTAAATGACCTTTGCTATAATCTAACACTAATTTAAAGGCAGAGTAAGTGATTTCTGGTAGCCAATGTTGATATTTGAAACCACCACAGATAAATGTACATAATCAATTGCATGAATGTACCAAATAATTCGCAACTTGTTCAAAATAATGAGAAACTGCTTTTATGGTGTGCACAAGTTACGAGATGATGTGGAGGTTGAACACGTAGTTTTGAGAATTTCATTTCTGATTCGAGAAATGCACCAAAGCGACTGAGAAAAACTGTAACACCTGTAAAATATAATTTTATCAAAACTCAAAATATCCATTTACTGTACATTATAATGTGATGCCTAAATTAGCAGCCTTTAAAATTTATTTTATTTTCTATATTTATTTTATTTTCTCCTATCTATCTATCTATCTATCTATATATATGCGTAGACTAAAATGTATTTATAGAATATTTATAGACTAAATAGTATAGAATTTTATTATCAGAAGAAAAATTTATTAGATGTTTTTTAGTTATCAGTTATAGATCATAACATAAAATAATTATTGGCTTATTGTATCAGCCAGAATTTCAACATTCTAGTAGCATTCTTACATGAGCTTTTCTCATTTTAAATAAATGTATATTTTAGCATTGTATTGCTAAAACTTTCACTATCAGTGATTCTAAACCAGATATCATACTTCAATAAGCATACTCCCTTCTATTTTATATATTGACCAACGCCTTGAGTTGAGTCCTGCAGGGTGCTCTGAGCTCCTCTCCATTATGAAGGATGCTTTCCTGGGATTTCAGCACGGCACTTTGGACCACGATCAGATCTTCTGCCATTCGCTGGGTGGAGGCCAACAGCTCCGCAACCCCCGCTGAACTCTCAGTCAACCTGAAACACAGATGAAAATCGGCTCACATTAATATTTTATGCACATAAATACCTTTCATATACGAAATATGCATCTAGGGACCTTTGAACCTGTGAATGGTGTTCTCAGCTCTTTGTTGCCAGCGCTCACTCTGTAAGTAATGACATATACTGTGTGCATGGGTAAAAAACTCAGTGTAGGTGTTGAAGGCCACAGGATCCATGTCTTGGGTGCAGGTTTTGACATCACTCTCTTCAGGGCACTCTGGGAAACTACGACCCGACCTGCAGAACACAGGGAATATTTAATGCTGAATAAAGTCATAACACTTCGCCTAAACTAGTTCTCGTCTGGTTTGTTCAGATACGGTCATTGACAGCAAAGAAAAAAAATGATGTGAAATGCAATTAATAAAAAATAATGTTAATGAAAATAAAATGCAAATAATGCATTTTTAATATACTGAGTAAAATGAAGCCATATTATCACATTAAGCCATGTTTATTATTGATTGTTAATACAGACACTTGCTGTTGCTTTAAATAAGATTAGATGGATAGATGGATGGATAGATAGATAGATGGATGGAAGGATGGATGGATAGATGGATGGATAGATGGGATAGATGGATAGATGGATGGATAGATGGATAGATGGATGGATAGATAGATAGATAGATAGATAGATAGATAGATAGATAGATAGATGATGGATGGATGGATGGATGGATAGATAGATTCTAAGACTGATGATACACGGGGGCAACTTTTTGAGCAATTTTGCCAGCCAACTTTTTTTGAGCAATGTTGCTTGGGCACTTTCCCATTAAGAATGGGTAACAAAGTTCTATCTGAATACTTTAGATCGGTCATGAGCCCTGTGCCTCACCTGGTTGCCCGTTGATGACAACATTGCTCAAAAAGTTGCCTCATGTATCATCAGCCTTAAGTCCTGATGCAAATGTAATTGAGAGCCACTGGTCTAAACAGTAGTGAAAAACGTCTTCCCCACTGGGTAAAAGAAAAAATTGTTTACACTAAGACAAACTGGTTCCCTGGTCTCCCGGTCTGGTCTGTGAGGGGGTTTGGACTCTAGTCAGAATGGGTGACCAGCTGAACACCAGCTCGGCCAGGCTGGAAGATCATTGTAAACCACTGAAGACCAGCGAACCTTACGCTGCTTCCACCTGTTTTTCAGCTGATTCCAGTAAAATGAGCTGTTGACCTTTGCAGGTGGCAGTGCGTGAAGGACAAGGCGATCTTGCTCTGCACATCATCACTGAACTCTTTGCAGCTCGACTGTATTTTCTCCAGCGCTCGAGACCAACACTGGCCATAACGCGGCTGCTGCGACAATTCACGCGCTCGCTGCAATTCAATGCGGCCCTTGTCCTCCAAACTTCTGTCGCTACTCACGGCACAGACAACAACAGCGATGGCCAAAAATGCCGTGGCCCACATTGCAGACCGAGAGGAGTTGTTGAACACACAACAAAAGTGATTTAAAAAAAAAAGAGGCAAACCTTCAATCAGTATTGTATGACTAATACAACAACACACCACGCCAGCGTTCAGTTTCAATTTTGTTCTGCCCACAGGCTGGAGAATGGGTGGATGTGGCCTCGGGTTTTTTGCATGTTGTTGTGGAGTAGATGAGTAGATTAGATACGCACCCAATCAAATCCATGTATTTTGCTGTATGCTTTGCATTATGTTTAACGTTTTCAGAACTTGATGCACTACAACAGATTCATTTCAATCAATTTTCTTCCTTTTTTAGGTTTTCAGAACCATATAATTAATAAAGATAATTAGTTTCTTACAAATACACTACTGTTCAAAGGTTAGTTAGGTTGGTAATGTTATGGTTTATGCTCACCAAGGCTGCATTTATTTGATAAAAAATACAATAAAAACAGTAATATTGTGAAATATTTACTATTTCAGCAGCCATTACTCCAGTCTTCAGTGTCGCATGATGCTACAGAAATCATTTTAATGTGATGATTTACTGTTAAAAAACATTGTATTCGAAAACAGTTGTGCTGCTTTATATTTTTGTGGAAAACACATTTCTTAAGGATTCATTAATGAACAGAAAGTTTTTTGTAAATTTATTTTTGTAATTAATGTATCCTTACTTAATAAAAATAGACATATTAATTCATTTTAAAAAATTTGTTTTACTACAAATATCATGGTTAAACTTTGTGTAGCAAAACTCTAGTTTCCAAAGTTGGGCGTTGCTTGTGATTTTCAAGGGTGTAGAATTTAGTTGGGACGCTATGACATGGCTCTGATATATCACTCCAAGGTAGGTTTGATTTTGCCATCGCATTGGTGGGGACGTAACGGCAGACAACAGACATTTAATTGTATGATCAAAATTATTGCTAGGGACAATTTAGTAGTTGCTAGATATTGGTAGGGACATGTCCTTAGCATCACTACTAAATTCTACACCCTTGTATCACTCTATCACTACTTCTTTGTGTCTTCCAGGCAGGGTCAGAAATTAAGCAGCGTTTGGTGCAAAAATGCTATCGAAAATGACAAAAAATACCTCAGTTTTAAAATATAGGGCCGTTTATTTTTTTATCTGTTATCTAACATTGTACATATTTTATTTTATATTCTATTCTAAGCCTATCTAGTGATGGGCCTTAGTATAGATTTAGTGCCTCTCAAGAAATTGTAGCTGTCAGATTTATTCTGTTTTCGCTGTTTCAGATGCGAGTGTTGTTGAATACCCAAGCAAGTGTTTTTCGATTGCAGGAGGATGGGAGACTAAAATAAGCTCAACTGAATAGAAGGAAAACATTCTCAAGAACTCCAATCCAACTACATAAAAATCTCACCATGTAACATCTAATATGGATTGGACAATTATTTAAAATGCAAATGGCAGAGTTTTTATTGAGTCATGGCATTTGCATTTGCATTTGATGTTGATTCAGTTTTAAAGGTAAAGGTTACATAAATGTGCATTTCTTTAAATGTCTTTCTTTTCTGCTTTCTGCCAAGTCTGTGAATATACCTTTATCTGTGGGCCTGTAAGTAAAGACATGGGACGTCCCCAATAGTAGGCTACTCTCATTTCCTCCTTTTCTTACCTCATTATCGCATTCATGTGTCAAAAGAGGAAGTTGGGAAAAAAATAAATGACAAATGTCAACCTTGCAAACGTCACCTCACAGCACTTGTTGATTGCTCTCAGCTGGACTGATGGAAATGTCCATGTGAAGCAAAATATGTAATTGAAGAAAGTTACAATTGCACAACATATGAGTTTCACTGGCATAAAGAGCCTTATTCTTGCTTGTTCAGGTTTGTGATTTAGATAAATAGAAAAAACAAACAAGCAAATCAAAATCAAAAATGGATTCAAAAATCAAAGTGCCAAATGCTTTTTAAAAATGCAATTTAAAAGGGCATTTTTTTATATTCAAACAATGTATAATTGCTGTTTTTCTAATTATTGTTTTAAACTTTTTAAAAAGACTTTTAAAAATATATGTAAATTAAATTAAACTGTAAAGTCTATTTAAAATGTGTTTGTTCATTTACACACACACACACACACACATATATATATATATATATAAATCAAATGTATTTTTTATTGATTTAAAGTGACACTCATAGTCTTCCAGAGACCTGTTTGAAAAGGGTGTTTGTACATTTTATAAATCTACATTTTTGTCACAAGGCAAAAATATCTGAAAACACATTCACAAACTTGACATGGATTTATCTGAGAGAAACAGGGCTTTGTCACAGAATGGAATAATACAGTTATGCACTATTATTCTGCTGTGCAATGCAGCTCTCCTCGCCCTGGACGTTGTTTCCCTCTCTGGTTATCCACTTCTTAGCTCTCGCGAGAACGTACGCGCTATACCCCCTTTCCCTTACACCCCACCTCTCGCGAGATCTCGCGTCCGAAGGATGGTGTTGTGTTAGAGGCAGTGGGGAGAAGGGTGAGGGGTATCCACAAAGATGTTGCGTGATTTTTTGGAGATTTATTTATTTAAATAAAAATGGCCGCCGCAGAGAGCGGAGAGGAGAGACTGTAAGTGTGAACCGCATCCATTCCCATTGTCACGGATTCCAATGTCAGGCGTCGCGAGCGGCGATGGCGTCGGTTTTGATCGTCGCTGTGATATTTTGTCAAGTAGGCGCAGGCTGAGGCGGGGAAATGTTAGCCGCGCTAGCCCGCGAAGGCGTTGAGAATACGTCACTCGCATTTCTCCCGCTCTTTTTCCACGATCAGCGGACACTTTGTGCGCCACGAGAACCGCGGTCTTTAGCCCAGTGTGTGTTCGGTGTCCTTTTCTGACGTTACTTCAAAAACTCTTCTGAAATCTAGAGCGAAAGGCAGCCTGGGGGTTTGAACGCACACGTTTTGTTTTGCTGATATTCGCGGCTCTTTCGCGGAAATGTTAAGGCGCTCCCGTGTCGTTTAATTCCAAGCGCTCGCTAGCTGTCAAAAACAGCAGACTGAAGTAAGTTAGCTTGCTTGTGGCGCTGCAGGACAAGGCAGGGGACCGAAATGAGATTTGCTCTAGATAGATCTGCCTGTCCTGGCCTGGAATGGCTTGACTAAGTGCTTAGAAATGAGGTTAAGATGCGTTTTAGCCCAATGCAATGGTGTTGTGCTGTGTGGGTAGCTGTGCATCATCAGGTACCATTGCAAGTTTGCATATGCATGCAAGTTGGGCAGTGTGCTAACGTTGTTTCTCTGCCTGATGTCACCGTGCGTGTGTCTCTTGTGTTGTTATTGCTGCTCGCTTTGCCCCTGCAGCATGCAAACCATATAACTCCAGGTGCAATCACTGAAATAGATAGTGTACTTGCTTTAGCAATGCACAAGGCACTCCCATGTGAGAGCAGACTGGTGATATTGTTGCGCTGACTTCCGGTAGCCAGCTAACGGATCTAGCAGCATCATATTTGTGTATGTGTTTGTGTGTGTGGTCGACCGCAGGGGGATTTGCACAAACTGAGTGACATTCAAGACACTGCTTCATGTCTTCTGCACACACTTGTGACATGTCTCGAAGGCTGAACTTGCATCCTGTGCAACTTCTTCCTGTGTTGCATGCTCCATGAATTCATTGCAAGGGCAGGTACTGGCTAGATGAAATACTTAGTTTGCCAGCTGTGGAAGATTGCTATTTTGAATATTTGTTGTGAATTTAATTTGGTCACTAAAATGTTGTTTGGAAATGCACTGAAAAAGACAGGAAACAATTTTCACTCGGAAAGGTACAAAAAGGTACAGAGAATGGCAAGTAACACATCGAATTACACATTACATTTTGAAGTAGAAAAACTAAAATGGTATTTCCTGGTAAAACACAGTCCAGTAATCTTTGTTTCATTGAAATCTTTTTTTTAAATCAGTTTTTACAGTGTGGGGCAAGTTGAACTTTCATCATCGTGAGTCAAAAGGAAGTTCAAATAAACACCGTTACGATCTTTCCGTCTCTGGTTTTCCGATGTCTTTTCAAAAGACGGTTGTTCATTATGGTTAAACATGATCCTTGATTGTCCAACATGGTATAATTGTTCGTATTTGATAAGATTACATACGAGGAGCTGTCTAATGCACATATTCATTGATTTCCAGCAGAGGTTCAAGGCCTTCGCCGCCTCCTATAAAGCTCCTACTTAGTACTAAATTGAACAGTCAACGTTCACAATAAAAACTTGATTATGACCAATACCAATTAGCTTTCATTATGGTTCTTTAATTGACTTCCCCCAACAAAGTCGTGGCTTAAAGAAAACTTAGGAGTGGCTGGTATTCATTTGCATTCATTTCATAAATTTGTAGTTCATGCATAAGGTCACATCTATAATTTTTTCCATGGCTAACAAACAGAATATCTCATCTACGCCAAATGAAACCGTTTCTGTCCTAGCAATCATTTCATGGAGCATGCAACACATGCTGAAGTTGTAAATTAATAAATGTGAATGCATAGCAAACTTTTAAATGAAAATATATATATATAAATAAGGCAAACTGTATATATTTGGTCATGTGACTGGATTTTCCTAGATTTGTAATAACTTAATCGTCTTTAACTCATTTTAGGTGGTGCTGCATTGTTGATCATTTAACAAATATTGATGAAATGCAAATATTCCATGTAGTTTCTCATTTGACATGAAGTCATAAAAGTTGTGTGCATAACATATATGCAAAATGTATTAAAAAAGGCATTTGAATTGATTTTGAATGAGGTTGTGCAAGTCACAATGCAGGATGTGAACTTCCCAAAAATGTTTTATGTCAGAATTAACATATTTGTCCGGCTAAAGTGATGAATTGATGCAGGTTTTGACTAAAATGATGATGACTTTCTTGGATGGTTTAATAACAAAGTAATTGTAGAAATGTATATTCACTTGCTCTTCAAAAGATATAAATCAAGAAGTCAAGTGAATGTCACTGAGGATGTAGTGCAGTCTGTAGAAGTTTGGGTTTATTAGTTAAAACATTAGAAGTTCATTCTTTTAAACTTACTTTAGTGTTTTATTTAAAAGTCAAGTAGAAACCAATTTCTTTTTTTTTGTTTTTTTGATCCTGGCTGGTTGAAGGATACTTTATCTCATGCTGTCACTCCTCTTTTATGTGTCACCAAGAATTTAAATCATATTCAGAGTTGCCAGACCCTCAACATAACTACTCATCCCATGAAACGTTGTGATGCAATTGTTTTAAAAAAATGTGAAAACTAAAACTGGTGGATTTTAAGCAAAACAGCATTACATTCTAAATTATGTTCATTGCAGGATATTCGTATATATGGAAATAAGTAGTTTGAGACTTGGGAGGCAGACTTGATTATATTATTTGCAGTGCATTTTGAGAGTGAGCAGTCATTTCAGAACTATTTTTGCCATGATTTTAATTTCTAAATAAATGTTTTGGTGTGTATCTCATTTTTGGATTATGGATATCATAGGTTTTCACTGGGAATTTGACTGTTAAGCTTCTTTTTTTTTTAAGAAACCATTTTAAGTTAAATAGTTTATATTAAGCAACTTCTAAAAATTAAGTTTTCACTGACTTCTACAGAAGCATATATGATATGATCACTTAACAGTCTTTGAGCTCTTAAAACGTTTGTTATTTTTAAAATTCAAGTCCTCTGTTTTGAAAATGTGATTTCTGCTTCTGAAACCCAACTGTTGCGCTCTACTAAAGTTTTAAAACCGGTAAAAATGCATGATGGGAAATGGTAGCTCAGGGTTTATAGTGCAAATGATATATTCTAGCTATACTTATTAGGGCTGCACGATTATGACAAAAATCATAATTGTCGATTATTCCTTTGAAATTGTAATTGCGATTATTCATTTACGATTAAATGAATGATGTTTACACCTTTGTTTGAAGCAAGTGCATGCTATATTTTTATATGAAAATAAACAAGCTGAAAACACTAACTGAAAAACCTTTATTGCTTTTCTATAGTATTAAGCCTCAAATGTCAACTATACATCGGATTGGTTTCTCTTTAAATAAAAAGGTAAAAATATGCATGGTATTATAATGTTATACTAAAACTAAAATTGAAACAATGGAAAACCCCTTAAGATAACATGTCGAAAGAAAAAAAAGCATCTTAAGCATGCAGAATAACATAAGTGGACTTTGAACGATTAATTGCTGCTTTGAACGATTATGTAATTGTGGCATCCGTAATTGTAATTGCGATTAGAAATTCGATTAATTGTGCAGCCCTAATACTTAATATGCATGCTAAGTACTGCATATATACTCATAAAGTAGCTAAATAGAATTCAAATATGTTTTTTATTTTGCAGTATAGTATGATAATGTGCTGCTAAGTCGTACACATCAAAATTGAATACTCTGTAATCTGTAGTGAATGTTTGTTTTTAACTCAGGTGTGGTGGCTCTTGTTGATGTACTGAAACATGTCAGCAACTCTGATTGCAGACAGTTAGTCATTGTTTTAGTGAGTGTAAGATAAAAACACATAGTAACTATTCATTCAGCTTTACCTGGTAAATTTTGTGGTTGTTTTCATCACTTGACTTCACCTACTTGTCATTGAAAGTGACAACATTTGAACATGTGGGATCTGTTACAGTCTCCACCCTGATAGAGTAACTCTAAATGTTAAGAAAATCTAAAAAATGTGTCATTTAATTCAGTCTGGCTGTGAAAGTTTTGTACACTGAAACAAGGCAAGAAGCATTGCAAGACGACTGAAGAAAAAGTTCAAAATAAGTAGGCAGCATATTTTGGTAGTTATTTTTTGCCTTTAAATCTCTCAGTTTTTCTTTGCTGTAGATATGGAAATGACGTTCACAATGTATAAGTGTTTTATTGCGATCTGATGTTTTTATGGGCGAAATATTTCGTTTGTTGTTCATTACTCAAACACCAAACTGCCATGTGGTCACGATGACAAAAGCATACGTTTTTAGAGTAATCTGCCAATTAGGTCTAAGGCAAATTAAGTTGATCACTAACCTCTTTTGTAAAAATGACAAGGAGTTTGTTGTCGCTTTGATTGACGAGCCACAGACAAGTGGGAAATTCCTCCGTCCTCTGAAGACGCAATGATTCAACCTCCACGTCAAGGTTTTGCTTGACACAGGCCTCTCGACACCTCCAGGGTGATTTCCATGTGTCTGTAAGCAGAGTAGAAATCAAATTGAACGTGTTTCTTCTGATGTTACGAAATAGACACATCCTAGACTTTCACATGATGTCTAAAGATGTTAAGGTGCAAACTGCATCAGTTTATTTGGTTAACCGAGTCTTATGCTGACACTTCAAATTCAGGCCACATCTTGCCTGCTCTTTGGTGGTATTTAATAGAGCTTGTGTGATCTGAAAATGAGCATTCTTTGAAGCCAGAATATTGAATTTATGATGGCAAACGCAGCACTTCTGTTCAGTTAAAAAAAATACTTCATTTAGACAAGCGGTTGACTTGAATACGGACCCATAAGACTGTCATCCTATCTCAGTGTGCCACTTATTTCTTGTGTTGTCAGCAGAGGTGTGGACAAGAATGAAGACCAGGAGGGCTCAAAAGACAAGACGCAGAAGCAGAAGAAAAACAAAAGGGAACGGCAAGATGTGGAAAAACTCGAGGCCACAGTGTCTGTTCCTCCACAGCCGCCCCTCCTTACGCAGGGGGATGTTGGACAACAGACAGAGGCAGGGAAGTCTGAACCCGTTGACCCTGAAGTTGGAGCTGCTCTCAGCGCTCCAGAATCTTCCGCATCGGCCAAGCAGAGGCGTTCCATCATTCGGGACAGAGGCCCACTGTATGACGACCCTTCTCTGCCTCAAGGTTGGACGCGCAAGCTGAAACAGCGCAAGTCGGGGCGATCCGCTGGAAAATTTGATGTCTACCTGATCAAGTTAGTACAAGTTACAGGAAGTTAGTAGAGTTTTGAGAGCAACTGTGATGAAATTTGTTTCGTAATACTGCATCCAAATGACACACATGCAACAAATCAGTCATTATTAAAGTTAAGTTATTGTGTTTGGAGAGTCTTTGACTGCTAATTAAAAGGGACGGCATGCTGCTACGCAACAAAACTAAACCTGTTAACACTGGAAGTACCAGTTAGAGCCTCATTTCTGATGTGCTATATTCCCTGTTTACATATGGTTACATATATCATGAATTATTTATTTGAATCTTATTTGTTATATACCTCTGTCCATTACGTCAAAGCTAGCTTGTGATGTTTTTGGTCTCTGGCCTACAAATTTAAATAATCTTTTATTTCTCACCATATTTATACGTAGTTTTAATGTGTAAAATTGTTTTAGCCCATACAAAGTCAGTTTTATACTGATGTTTTGAGTAAGAAACTTTCTCAATTTATTGTCGTTAAAGTCTTAAGGCCCGTTCACACCAAGGATGACAACGATAAAGTTTTAAAATTCGTTCTTAATTGAAAAGAATAGCAGAGTCCACACCACAACCACAACGATAACATCACAGAGAACAATATAGTTGGAACTACTTTAAAAATGATTTTTTTCCCCAGCTAATGAATGATAAAAACATAGACAGCCAATCAGAATCCATCCAGCTTTACAGAGCTCGAGCATTTAAAGTGGCAGACGACATAAATGCTGCATTTGCTCATAATAAACACAGGATTCGTATGGTCATGAAAAACCTGGAAAAGTCATGGAATTTTAAAACGGCAATTTGCAGGCCTGGAAAAGTTTTGGAAAAATGTTGAAACCCAGAAATTTTTGGAAAAGTCGTGGAAATTTATTTCACAAATCGCTGTGTAATAGAATATATTTTTGAATCAGATCCTGAATTTCGTTGTGGGATCGCGCATATATCGCCTAGTTTTACTCATTCCCGCAGGTTTCGCGTTTATAATGCTGGAAATTCCCGCAAACATTTATTTAATATAGCATGTAGGTTAGGTGTAAATTAATCCACACAGAATATCGGATCAAATCAGTCATATGAAAACAGCAAGAGTGAGTCGGAGGTATCTCGTCTTCTCTCTTTCACTCTCTCAAAATGGCTTCACATCAGCGCATCTCGCCTACACTACAAGAGAGCTGCTGCATGCTGCGATGCAAGATTTTCGCTCGCGTTTCGGGACAGTTGACAGAATTGTCACTTGCTTAATCGGGCCAGTGTTGCATCAGCACAAAACAGTATCATTTGCACATCTTTTTAACTCTTTTTAAACCATTCGGTACTTGCGCGCTCCAGTCAGATCCAAAGCGCGCGCACATAAAGCCGCCTCAAACGCGAGTTCCAAATTGAGTTATTTTTCCGCACCTTATTGAGATTAAGCAGCCAAATACACACAAAATTATGTCAAAATGCCCGTCCTGGCGAGTATCCTCATAAACAGTCGGTTTTGTCTTAAGTGAATGTAAGCAGTTGTTGTGAATCAGTATATTGGATCCGTGCGGTCGATCTTAAAGAGACAGCAGCCTAATAAAGCTGTGCCGTCAGTCATTAAATTTTATCAAACAACAAAAGACAAAAAAAATTTATAAAAGGATCAATCACTGCTCTTGACTAAATAACTTTTGTAACTAATTTTATGGATTAATTTGTTTTTAATTTACAGTTTATTTCTGTACCTGAATACTAGGCTACTTGTTTAGACCTAAAAGGTTTCCTAAATGAAATTCAGGTCCTGAGTTTAGTTGATAATATTGGTTAAATAAATTATAATATTCAGTGATGTGATATGTTTTCTGCATGGAGTAACCTCTGGCACATTCGTAGCTTGTACTTATTATTAAAACAAATAGAAAGTAAAGAAGTAGCATTAATAGTCATTAAATTTTAACATAGATTTTTCTTCTTATTTTCTTATTTCTTATTCTTGCAAAATAATTGAACATTAGGTCATGAATATTGTCTCAAAAGTCATGGAAATTTATTGGTAAAAATGTGTACGAACCTGTAAACAGAGTATTATCATGCTCTGGTGTGGACGCTAATCTAGTTATTGTTCTCGAAGTGAGCGGCCTTTTAATCACATTTGTCTGAGGTGGCGTGTCACTGGTCGCTTCCAGTGTAAGACATGAGCTTGTGTAACAGGTCCCAACAGTATTTGAAGCACGATATAACAACTCAGTGGTTGTTCAGTAAATCTAAATTACATGTATAGAGAGAGTTGTGCATTACACGGGTCGGGCTCGCAGAGATTAGTGTTTAGATTAGATTTCTAAGATTTTTTGTATGGCTAAATAATTCAATGTTGTCAAGTGTATTTTTCTGCCAAACAATTTGACATTATGAATAAGGGTGCATGCTGTTCAACACTGACCGATGTGTCACGGTTCCCACTGTCTTTTTTTCTTTGATTTCATTTTACTCTTATTAAAAGGAGCTTAATAAAAGATAAATGTGAAATCAAAGAAAATATTTGTATTTGGTCTACAGGTTTGTATGATTTACTTCTCGCACCAGTTTTTCTTCTTCTTTGATATCACTCTTTATTATAGGGTGCTTAAATAAATTAAATTGAAATCCAAGAAAATATTCATATTTGGACCACAGGTCTGTATGATTTACTTCCTGTAACACTATTTTTTTTTCTTCTTTGATTTAATTTTTATTAAAGAATAAAAGTGAAATGCAAGAAACTTTTTTTATTTGGACTGCATGATTTACATGTATGATTAAAAATTCTAATTTAGCACAGATACACTTTCTCAAATTCTCAAATTCTCAAATTGTTTTCTCAGAATTACAGTCTTCAATATGTATAATACAAAATATATTGATTTTATTTTTCAGCCCAGAAGGGAAAGCCTTCCGTTCCAAAGTGGAGCTCATGGCATACTTCCAAAAGATGGGCGATACCACTACGGATCCCAATGACTTTGATTTCACAGTCACGGGCCGAGGGAGCCCTTCTCGCAGAGAAAAGAGACCACCAAAGAAGCCTAAAGTGGTCAAACCTTCTGGTCGCCGGAGGGGTCGGCCCAAAGGCAGCGGCAAGGTACGGCAGGCCACAGAAGGGGTGGCAATAAAGCGTGTCGTCGAAAAGAGTCCAGGAAAACTCCTTGTAAAGATGCCCTTTGTGGCTCCCAAAACTGAACCAGGGGCTCCAGTGATGCAAGCGGCAGTTGCCAAAGTGCGCCGAGGGCGCAAGCGGAAATCAGAACAGGAACCGCCGAGCACCCCCAAAAAACGTGGCCGCAAGCCAGCAGCTGCTTCACAGTCGGTGGTGGGGACGGGTTCAGTCGCTGCATACACGGCCGCGGCCATTCTCACCGCCGAGGCCAAGAAAAAAGCTCAGAAGGAGTCTTCCGTAAAGCCTGTTCAGGAGAGGGCGCTTCCCATCAAGAAACGCAAAACTCGAGAGACTTTAGAGGGGTTGGAAGGATCAACCACCTCCACGACGGAGACGTTTGTACCGGGGATAGCAAAACGACTGACTGCATCAACTGTGACCCCTACAGGGGAGGAGGTAGAAACGGGACAGAAGTCTCACAAGCATCCTGGCCGGAAGCACAAAGAGGCGTCCACCGATCCGGGGAACGGCAGCAGCAGCAGCAGCGGGACGGCAACCAGCGGCAGCGGACCGAAGAGTCACAAGAAGAGAGATCATCGAGGGCAGCACTTTAAACACCACCACCATCATCACCACCACCAACACCACCATCTGCAGGCCATGCCGCCCTCCACCTACACTCCGCAGGCTCACCAGCTCTCCCTGGGTCACTCCACACAAGGGGGGCCGCCTGCGACAACGGAAAACGAACCCCAGGACTTGAGCACCTCCAGGCCCAAAGCGGAACATGTGGCCTGCCGGGAGGAAGCGAGAACTGATAGCTCCTCGAGCAGGGACGCTCAGAACGCAAGCAAGATGGCCTCCTCTGACCTGAGAGGGCAGCAGGCGACTGTGACAGGGGATGGCAAGGAGCTGAGAGACATTGTTCCTCCCTCCACCGTCCCGAGGCCAAGCCGAGAGGAAACGGTCGAGTCCCGGACACCAGTGAGCGAGCCAGTGAGCTGACTGACTAAGTGACGGATCGGGAGCGCTTTTGCGTGCAAAGAGTTGGAGGCGGTCGCAGCAAGACGAGTGGTTTTTCGTTCTTTTTTTACTGAGGAAAAAAGAAAAAGGAAACAAAAATGTAAACGTACTTATACAAAAGGCAGCTGTTGTGTCTCGCTCTCTCTGTGGGTTGGACGCGGGGCGATAATTCTCTTGCTTCCGGATGAATTCTCTGCTAATCTTTTTCTTTATGGTTTCCTTTTATTTCCCACTATATATCTTTGTATTAGTATATCTTAGCACTCACCTAAACCAGTTATTCCTTTGTCAGAGCTTGTAGGAAGTAGAAACACACTCAAGTGGTAATGGATACACAACTCACGCCATAGTTGTCGTAAAGCGAAACTTTCCTATCAAAGATGCTCTCGAAAGTACTAACATGCAGCATAGTCATGTCATCTCAACCCTAGAAAAAAGGTGTCCTATCAGTGTGTTCTTCCTTCTGTGTCTAAAACGAAGGGGCAAATCCGACGGCAAGCTGAAGAAAAAAGGGCCACATTTCCGATCTCCACCTTTCCATTTGAGTCGGACGCAACTGTTGCAGCATCATCACCTTTGAAATAAGACGCTAGCTTAACTCTGACAGAAAAGAACTTCCTAGTTGTGGGTTCGTGCCAAGCTGACATTTCCAGTCTGTTGACCTGTGAAGATCAATTGAATTTGGAAGCAGTATTTCCTTTCGAGTTGTTGGTATTTTTAGTGCACATGTCTATTAATTATCAGTAGTTTGGTTAACCTAATCACCAGTTTCGGAGGTGCCTGAGAAAATGCAACTAGAGCGGAAAGCTCTATTTTTCATTTTCTCTGGTGAGGGAGATAAAGCACAAATGTATTTGTTAGGGAATATTGAAAGCACAGTCCAGTGTAGCATCTGGAGTTGATGTCAACTCGCGTAAAAGAATACGAGAAAAGGAATTTGTTATGTTTACCTGCTTTTTTCCATGAAGTACAATTTAAATAGTGGCCTTGTGTTCTTACGACACAAATCCCTAACAAAAAAAGCATACAGTTTCAAATGTAGCTTTTGGTTTTATCGTGTGTGGTTATAGAGCTGCTGTTCTAAAAACGTTTCTGATGGAAAAGTTAATAGATGGCTATATTTATATAATGTCTTGTCAGGCTGTAGTTGTGTCAAATGCATGGGTTGCTGATGTTCGCGTGCTTTGCGTGCTATTTATTCTAGTACTCCGACATTGTCTTTCGTGTACATAAAGGTTTATAAAGCCAGGTTCAGCACTGATGATGAGGGTTAAATGTTATAGATACATAAATATTTTGAATTATGAGTATTATAAAACATTACTTGGCAACAAATGAAAGAAAAACTTGCATACATTGTACAACACCATGCAATCATGAATAGTTCTATTAGTTTTCTAAAGTCTACTTTTTCAAAATGACAAAGAATATTTGCAATCAGAAAGAAGGACGCCAAATCACGGCTTTGTGCATAAAGTTGTTAGAGATTGGACATACTGAAGATGTCTTGGTAATTAATTTGATTGTACCTTTGAGATGAAACGTAATCCTAAGGAAATCCTGAACCAAAACTGAGGAAGTTCTTCTTTGTTGATTATGTAAAATTAGGATTTTACGGAAAATATACAGCACTTTTTCTGTTTCATTTTTGGTTCTTCTTCTAGATGAAATGCACCTTACTTTTAAAACACTTTAACAGAATTGATTATTGGAATTGTGAGAAGCATACCAATTTATTTGCATATATTTTTCTGGTTAGCCTTGCACAGATTTCTGTTTCATGTCCTGAGGTTGAAATTTTCTTCAGATGTGTGTCAGCATAGAATGCATGTTCAGTGTCGTTATAAAGAGCCATTCTTTTGCTTAGATTAGCTTTTTCTGTACAAATACCCCATATTTACCAAATTATCATGCATAAAGGCAACATTTGACTTACAATAGTGTTGGGTCAGAGTCCACCTTGTCAGGTCCGAGTCGAGTCAAAGTCCTTAGTCAATTGAGTTTGAGTGGGAAACCATTATTTATGTATAGTCATCTTAATTTTATGTTGTTAATCTTTTTAACTTTCATGTTATACATGATGTGGATTCAACTGTACTCAGTAAAAAAAAGTTCATTCATAATTGCGGTCTGAACCCCAACTCTTAACATACAGTATTTGAGATTGCATATTTAAGGCCAGTAATAGGGTGACAAAGGCAGTTAGTTAGTAAATGTCGATGTTTGACCGTTACTTGCAACTCTTGTATGCTTGCCAAATCTAATCTAATCTAATAAATTACAATTAAAAAAAATATAAAATCCAAGCCAAACCAGCCATACAATTACATTTAAACCAATCTTCACAGATCTCTGGGTCTGATTGTGAGAGTGTGAGGGGTTGCCCTTTTTTCCACAAAGTATTGAGTTCAGTTTTGTCTGTGTATACATTCATAGTTATTGTGGCTTGGGTGATGGATGTGCATTGCCACTGACATAAATGCTGAAAAATATGTACTACTAAACCTTAATCGGAGTCATAACACTCAGCACTTGTTACATTTTTTCATCTGGTAGTTCAACTAGAGTAGGGTGTTGTTTTGGATGTTTGCCGTCGTTTAGGGATTGAAATGCATGCGAGAGAGAACTTACCGGTCCTATTTTTTCAAGTGAGTTTTAGAGTAGCCTTGTTATCTGGTATGTCAAATACGTTTAAAGAAAAAAATTAGTTTTTGTTGTGTAGATTAAATTACAATCGACATTCACAAGGAACACTGCTTATTTATTTTCTCCCTAAAGTCTTATTAAGATTGAAAGCATCTCCACTCTCTTCCTCCAGCCTCCCGCTCCCTCAACCCTCACCGGGAAGAGGCATAGAAAATAAAAGAGCGTTTCTGCTCAGAACAAGGGCTATGTAATCATTTAGAGTAGTCAAAAGCAGATGAAGGAAATTGATTTTTAAGTCAGAGGAGCACACGGTCTGGTCCTCGCTGTATAGACAAACTCAGTTAACTGCTTGACGTCAAACAAGAGACTTTATAAGTGTTAAAGTCAAACACCACGGGCTCACCCTCTGTCCTCGGCAGAGTTTGAGCGCTCACTTAACCGGCGGCTGACGTTGTGTCCTGTCTGTGGTGAACGTCTCCCTGGTTTGACTAAACTCGAGCTGGAGATTGGAGGTAGACGAATAGATTCATTTGCCTTGAGCTCGGCAAGCACATTCTCAGTTACAGGTTCAGAATAATAGCGAAGGAACGAAACCTCCAGACATGAATTGAAGTTACGACTCACAAGCTGCATCAGTCTGGCTGAAACAGAAAGGGTAGTGCCTTTTTTTGGGGGGAGACTTACTAAGGTGGTAGAAGTGACCTTTGATTCTAAAGAAACACCTTTATCCCAATGAAGCAACGTGGATGGTGAATTTACTCAAATGCTTGGATTTTATTCGGTCATTTTTCATAGGTAGAACGTGCACTGGTGTGTGTGTGTGTGTGTGTGTGTGTTGTAACTAGGATTTCATTGTTCATTTTTCTTTTTTTTCATCAGCTGGGCATTTGTGTCCACCTACAAATGATGTATTGTTAAAAACCCTCTGCTTTATGAACTTCTTGCTTTTTGTAGCGCTCAAAGCCCACTGACAAAAATGGAGCCCTACAAATGGGTAAAGACAGAATAAGATGATTACTTTTATTATTTATATATGTTGGTTTGTTTGAATTATTTCCTCATTTGTTTGGGGTTTTTGTGCCTCTGGCAGTGAAATATGCTTTGGAATGTCCTTGTGTCCCTGTAGCCAAAAAAACATGCTATGTACGTGAACATGTATCAATATGCATGATTGCCATTAGAAGATAGGACATTGCTTGCCCTTTACTATTATATATAAGATGTTTTCAAACAGCACTCTAAGAGCTGAGCCCAACCACACCAACCGAATCCGAAGGGTTTCATGAGGTATAAAATACTGAATGTGTTCTGTTTAATGAAGGTTGTGCACTTCGGTCTGTTTGATATGAACAAATTTATTTCATTGAAGTATTTTTTTGATTTAACTGATGGTAGCTGAGTTTGGGCTGTTAACGCCACTACTTGTGGCTAGAGTAATTTGTAGATTTCTGTGTTAGATTTATTTTTATTAGTAGACTTTTTTTTTTTTCAATTATAAATCATTGGAAATAGACCGTTTTATCTTCATAGCAATAGTATGATAGTATACCCAGCAGATCGGAAATGAGTTTTCTCCTTTAGTATGTCTCTGATTTGTGTAACAGTAGGAGTGAAGTAAAAGAAATTGACCCTTATGACTAAAATGCAGCACTTTGAATTGTGCAAGGAGGACAATTTCAAATCAAATGAAACAGAAGTTAAACTTCAAGAAATAGATTCCAGATCCACCATGGTAGAAAGTTCATGGTCTATCTAACATAGTCTTGTGCCTTGAAGTTTCAGTAATAGAATTTATCTTTATACTGTAGTTGTATTTTTATTCTGAGTCCTGTGTTTGCCTCTTGTTGGTATTCAGTGCTATGGATGTATTAAGGATTTATAGAGATCAAGAATATGTTTGCCTTGCTTTATTTTCTTAATTGAGAAAAAAAAAAGGATAACATTAGGGAGATGTACTTGGGCAATATTGACGATGTAAAAAGCTATAGGATTTTGATGTTTGTTTTTTTTCATCCCTGTTATGTTGATTGTCTCACAGTTTAATGAGTACTATGTGTTTGTTGGGAAATATTCACCATTTTGACATGACCATAAAAAAAACTTGGCCTCAAACATAATCTTCCAATCCCATTGCATTTTATGAGAAAAAAAACAAAACCCTTCAACCTTGACCGGAAGGACAACGAGTCTAAGATCTGCACTTTATAAAGTATGTTTCCCGGCAGGACACCCATTAACTTTTTGTATGTATTTTTTACCCTTGTCCAAAGCAGTTTTGTTTTCATATTACTTTTTGATTTAGTTTTAAATAAAAGGGATGGGTAGTATGTATCTAAAAAAAAAAAAATGTTATTTTAACCAAACAATCCTAAAGACTATGTGTCAGTGGTTATTCACCATCTGCCAAGCTAAGTCCTTGCCTTCCTGAAAGTGAAAAGTATAGTTTGTGTCTACTTTTATAGTACTGTGTTACTGTATCATTTGTTTGCCGTATGTAACAGATACACAATAGTAAACAACATTTACCTGCTCTCTGTCTAAAACATTTATTTGACTCACATCACAAACAAAACAATGGTAGTGTTGTCATCCTATTGTAAGATTCATATCTATAATTTAATAATGTGAGGAAAAAAACGTGAACAAAAGAAGGAAAAGTACTAATGACTGAAATCTGGAAAGCAGAATCAACATTTCAGTTTCAAATAGAGTTTTGCAGTTGAATTAAAACAATGGTTGTTGCTCATATTGTACACTAAGTTCATTTAGTAATCACTCGTGTTTTATATAAATGCAACTTTAATGTCTTTTTCAGACAAAAAAAAGTTTCTAATGCATCAGTACGTCTGGCATATAGCATCACTTGAAATTTTTGAGCATATGGCTCAAAATGCAAAAGCGGCACTAAATATCAGGACAGTGAAATTTACACTATTACTAAATGTGGAAAAAGGGAAGTGGAAGATGTGAGTAAGACGTGATGGCGAATGAATTAACGAACTCTACTATGGTGAAGGTGACGGGTATGAAATAATAAACGTAATTTGACTTGGCCTCTGCAAGTCAGAGCCGGAGAAAACGCAACTGCTGACGTAAGAAAGTGGGCGGCAGTAAGGTGCGGTATCGTCAACGGTGGCTCATGAATATTAATTAGGTGACGCACAGGTTTAGAGATGACGCAATAAATATTCATCACGGTTTGTGACGGCTGCTGGTGGTGACTCAAAGTAAAAGACAAAAAAGACCACTATCACAAGTGAAAGCCACAAGCAG